TTTTGCGCTTTGAGTACTTCAAAGTATTCGTCTGGGGCAGTAGTTTTCTTACAAAACTGTTCTCAGCGTCATAAACTATTACTGCATTCTTTGAGCAGCTTTTGTGTATCATCGTAAACGTGTTCTGCCTAGTTCATCCGGGAACAAGTGAAACATCGATGGACGGGATATGCTGCTTGTGCTATTAATAGCTGGAAACGGGGCATTTCAGTCTCAGCGATTGCGCTTACTATGACATTTATTTCCGTTTTTTTCTTTTTTGCTCTCAATTTATATTTTTTATAGCAACTCATTTTTCGCTTTTGCCCGCATGCATCGAATAGGCTGCGAGTACTGATTGGAGCTGTGCCGCTTGGGAACGAAAGACTTGGTATAGCTGCGATCGACGTTTGTGAGTGTCACTAGCACAGGATCCCTATACCGATTGCCCAGTCAGTCTTCGTAGTTTTGGTTTTCTTTTTAGTAATGTTGCTGGAATGCTTCCGTACACTGGGCGCTGCTATGCCAGCGCATTTTGTTGCTATGGGAAAAATTAAAAAACGTTTACTGCGCTGATCCGCTGATAAGCATATAGATTTCTTGGAAAAAGACTAACGAGGAATCAAAATTTGGTTTTGACATTTTGCTTTATGTGCATATGGTGCGGTGACAAAGTAACGCTGCTATAGTGCTGGATGTCTCGAGTTCTACTTCGATATTGAGACAGCTAGTTCATCTACAAGTTTCCCACATTTTTTGTTGATGGTAGCACGATATTGGGATTAAATCTTGACAACAGCTTGCTTGTAAGCAGTTTTCGAAAGAAGGGGCTATCTATATCCTTGCACTAGCAGGTGATTGCTGTTGGTATTTGGTGGCAAATCAGGCCATTTCACATCTCGTATCTCCTTATGAACGAATATGGAGGGGTTTTGATTATTTTGATGCTTTTTTACATTTGCTTTTTTGATTTGCATTGTTTTCAGCTTTACAAGTTTGGCGAGGTTGTTTCGATTGTTTTGTGGGAGGAGAATTGGCGCCCGGATTCATATTACGATAAAATTGCAGAAAATAGAAGGCGCGGCTTGCATACGCTGTGTTTATTAGGTGAGAACTTTTTTTTTTTACTTTGGATTGACTCAAAATTTACTATATCGTCACCCTTGGTTTTACAGTGCGGTCAACGTACAGTCAATTTGTTAGATGGTCAGCGTACAAAGATTTCATTTTTAGGTAGTTTCTTTCCATAGTGTTTCTTGGTTTCCTCTGGGAATAGAGGCGCGTGTTACATTTTTGAATTTTATTGCACGTTATGCAAAATTGATGCATTAAATTTTTCAGATATAAAAACGAAGGAACAGTCGGTGAATGATATGATGAAGTATGTTCATTCTGAGTAATGAAAGTGCTAAAACTTTCTCATTATGGCATTGCCTTTCATCATTTACCGCATATGCTTTGACTTGACTTTCTAGGTAAAATTACGGTATTTTATAAAAACTAAGAGTTTTCCGAGTTATATGTATATCTTTTATCCCGCTGAAATCAAAAGAGGCCGTAAAAAATTCAGGAATTTTTTGTTTGACTTTCTGCTTAACTACCTTTTCATTACTGCTTGATTACTCCCTCTTTAAATTTAGTGGTTTTATACTAAAATTTTTTAGAGGCCGAGAAGTATACCTTCCGCCAAAATATATGACATGCGCCGAAGCAGCAAAGCAGTTATTGGAAATAGCGGAAAAGAAACAAAGTGAAGGCATCGAGCCTGGTAAGTCTTAACCAGATATTCGTTGCAGCCATCAGTATGTCCAATTTTGAGGATCTTTTTCGCTTTTCTACTTTGTATTATTCTGTGAGCAGTTTTTTCGAAAGCCTTGGGAGCGGGAGCGACGACTTCGTTGTTATTTAGAGAGTACTAGTTGCCTGGTGACGGAGTTGTTGCGTAATTCAACCCATTTCTAAATCTGTCTTTTAACGAGGGTATCAACTTGTGGCGTCCACTAGTT